AGTCCTTTATTTTGTTTTGAGACAGGCTCTTGCTAAATTGCTGAGGCTGGCCTTTGAGTTCACTGAGCAGTACAAGCTGGCTTCCCAAGTAGCTGGGACTACAGGTGAGCACCGTCACACCCACATCGTGTGACTTTTAAAGGAAGTGTTAGGAATAGAACCCTGGACCCGGAGCACTTTAGACAAGTGATCTAACACAGAGATCCATTCCCCACCTCCAGGACATCCTTTTAAAAGGAAGATGGATGTTTGTTTATTTGTGTGTGGGGGGGTTCGTTATTTGTTTGTTTTGTTGGTTTTTCAGACATGTTTTCTCTATGTAGCCTTGGCTATCTTGGAACTGACTCTAGACCAGGCTGCTTTGTCTCCTGAGTGGTGGGGTTAAAGGCGTGTACCACCTGGTTAAAGGTTAAAGGTTAAAGGTTAAAGGCCTGGCACACCTGGAAGATTCTATTCAATTAAAAACAAACACTTGTTTTCCCTCGGATCTATTCCTTGAGTTTAGGCCTATTCACAAGCCTCACACATTGCCCCCTCCCCATGTGTGAAAGACACCCAGGGCCTGGCAGGAACTAACGGAACAACTGTGGTACAGAATTCTTCTACCCTCTTGTGGATCTTTGTTTTGAAAATTATTTTTATTATTTTATTTGTCCCCGTGTGTGTGTGTGTGTGTGTGTGTGTGTGTGTGTGTGTGTGCGCGCGCGCGCGTGTGCGCACACCCACACACATGCACATGCGCACGTGCTAGCGAACTCGCACAAGTGCAGGTGCCTTCAAAGACATTGGAGCCCCTGGAGCTGGAGTTACAGGCAGTTGTGAGCCACTTGGTGTGAATGCTAGGAATCACACCTGGACCTCCAAAGAACAGGGCATGCTCTTAACCACTGAACTGTCTGTCACCCCAGCTGCCTCCTGGATATTTCTTTCCAGATCTTTTGGAGTTGTGTCTTCCATGCCCAATTTAAAGTGGGGTTTAAAGCACAAGTCTTTATTGAGCTTTCATAAAAAGCAAATCTCTTCCCTTTGTGCTCATATTTCACCAGCTTATGGGATGCCTAATTCAATTGCCTCTTCACAAAAGCCAGTGTGGCTGGTACAGACCAGTTTGGAAACAAACCCAATAGACTCTTGGCAAGCATGCAATTTGATGGCAGAAAGCCAGAGGAGACAAGGGTGCCAAAGAATGGCTTGCTGGCCACCCAGCGGGCGTATGGCAGGAGTGCCCATTCAAACAGTCTGTAGAGCCCTGATTAGGGGGGTAAGCTGTTTTAACAGGTTGCTAACAAGAATTCTGTTGTCACTCTAATTTTAGCTAAACTCCATAGTATGGTATTGACTCTGGGAGACACCTGCCCAGCAGACAACTCATTTGCCAGCCTGTCTTACAGTCACAGTGATTATGGGATGAGCCTCACCAGTGGAGTGCAAGTTAAAGTATGGGTTCCAGGCATGGCCTCTAGGGAATAGAGGAAATCTCCATCTCTGTCTACAGTATAGATGCAGGGGACCCTGTGCCCTGGGAAATGGTGATGCCAGGAGCATCAGATGAAGGAAAGCCACCATCCCATCAGAATGCTTGCCTGGTTTATTAAGGTGGCTAGCACCACACTGTGACACACTAACCATGAAAGTGGGTGTGACAGTCAAATTAGATGACGCATATGCAACAGACTCCTGAGTGGGAGTCTTCAGGTTCCCAGATGAAGTCTGCCTTAAGGCTGAGGTCAAGCACAAAGTGCTGAGAACCCCTATGTTCCAGAAAGTTCCAAGACTCACCTGCAGGACCTTCTCAGAAGCATTATACTGACTTCCTCCTCCTTGTCCAGCCGGGTCAATCTAGGTAGTGAAGTCAAGGGCAAGTTTCTAGGGCCAGGGAACAGGTTTAGGTCCTGGGCCTACATTGTAACAACTGTGAGACTCTGGTAAAATTGTGTCAGCTCTCTGGGTGGCATGAAATGATAATATCTGTCACCTCATTGCCTTATGACTCCCCAAGTAAACAGAGACTGTGAGGCCAGCTTGAGTGATGGCTTCGTGCTCTATTCCACCCTCCCTCTGACTCCTGCCTCCCTTTTCTCCCTGACTTCTGAACCTGTCAATCACTATTTACACGGGTCTGTTCTTTGTCTACTTGGAAGCCAGAGGAGTTCTGCCTTGAGAGTCACAAGGAGTAACAATAGCCATCCAAGTCAGAGCAGGAAGTCTGGGGACAGCTTGGAGGGGACAATCTGGCCAAGAGAGGATGCCATAGCCGTCTGGAGTGTCTCAGCACAGAGGATCTGGAAGACACAGTAGGCCCGGGAGTCGGGAGTCGTGGAAATCTGGTCCAGTCAGGCGGAGGTTTATCTCAAGGTCCCGGAGGACTTTAAACAGAGTGATTTAGCTGTGGTTGTGTTTACAAAGGTCCTCCTGGCTGTGCAGTGTGGCTGACAGGAGAAGGCGCTCATGGTGGGTCATCCACAGACAGACAAGGTACCGTACCTCAGGGCCTGATGATTAAATAATACACTCGGCACAAATAGAAAAACAGCAAAATACTCTCCCTGCAAGGAAGGGAAAGCTAGCCACCTGTATCACCGCCTCACACTGAAGCTTGGGGCACGATCTTCAAATAGGCTGCACTTTTACATCTGGACAACAGGGGGCGGCAGCGAACTCTAGTCCCAGGACTTCCATCAGCTGGCAGCCTCTCCACTATTCACGCTTACAAATATCACTGGCGGCACGATGTTACTGGTTCCTCTACCAAAGCCCATTTGAACCCACTAATAATACACAGGTTTTTGCGAAGTGCGCACTCAGGGTGGGCTGGGGGCAGGGAACTCAGGAAATGCACCATCCTGCTCGGACCAGACGCTGCGAGGGGAGGGGGGAGGCAGGCTGTTCTTTAAACAGTCAATAAATGACCACCTGTGCTCTGGATAGTTGATAATAGTTCGGTTAAAGTGAAGAAAGGAATGGAGGGAGGGAGGGAGGGAGGGAGACAAAATAGGAGGAAGAGAGAGAAGGGAGATTAAAAACAAAGAGAAGAGAGAAGAGAGAGACGGGTGGTATGGGGGAGGGGGAACAGAGCACACAGGCCTTGCATTTGGCTGAGCCTCCCAGCTCTGATAGTAGCTGTAATTTTTCCAGTTTCAGTTTCTCCTCTGTAGAGCAGGAGTCCCTCCCGGACACAGTAAATGCTCACGAGACGAGGGTGCTGTCAGCTGCCTGGTACCATCCTGGTGCCCAGTCCTAGACCACAGGGCCAGATTCTCTAGAATTGTTGCCAGTTAGAACAGGGAGGACGCTGGGCACTTTAGCAGCAGGCCAGGGGTTTCTCTCTCTCTCTCTCTCTCTCTCTCTCTATCTCTATCTCTATCTCTATCTCTCTCCGCCCCCACTAAGGGAGCTCCATCTTCATTGTCTCCCTCAATGTGCAGGAAGATGTGGTACCCCAGTCCACGGAGACTGGCTCCCTGCTGCGAGCTCCAGTCATGGCCAACAGAGAAGTCTCCAGAGAGCAAAGGGTCAATGTCATACGGTTCCCCTGCTGCTCCAACCCAGGACTAAGGAAGTGAGTGGAGACACTTTCCTACGGTTCAGCCAGCCAGACCCAGGAAGCTCAGCTACAGAAGGACAGAGAAAGGCCAGAAGGTCATCATCTATGAGCCCAGCACCCTATCTTTGCACAGAGGGTGTGCCCTCCCTGCCCTCCATCCCTGCCCTCCATCATTCTGACTACACAGAACCACGAAGGCTGCCCTTCTCCTCCCTGTTTGGTGACTCTGGGAGGCTGGCAGCCTTACATCCTGAGGTTCCTTCTCCTCTCGCCTTCAGGCCAGCTCTGGGTTCAGCAACCTCGCCCCACCAGTGGGAAGCTGCTCTCAGATGTTCTCAGTACCCACACTAAGTGTTTCTTCCTTTTTTAGTCTGTTGAATAGAACAAGTCAGTCATTAAAGAGCATGCGGCTTCAAAGATACAAGGCTCAGGTACAGGCAAAGGCACACCTGTGGAGACGGAAATCAGCTAGGGCAGGGGTCATCCCTACAAGGGAGCAGCAGGAAGAGCAGGGCTTTTCTGAGGTGATGGGAATATGATACACCTGGATGGATATTGGTTACACTGTGTGCGTGGTTATAAAGGCTGAAGACGGGTTTGCAGCGTGTGCATATAACTGTGCAAATTACACACATCTCATCGAAGTTTCATAGGGAAAAATCACTACTTAAGCACAGAGACTATTTTTGTTGTTTGTTTAGATTTTGGGTTTTGAACTCATTGTGTCCTCTGGCTGGCCTGGAACCCAGTATGTAGACAGGCTGGCCTCGAACTCACAGGATCCATCTACCTGCCTTTTCCTTGGAGTTTTGGGATTGTAGGCATGTGCTGCCACACTGACCAGAGACTTCTCTGATTTCCTAACTTGATGATAACACCAGTTTAAAAGGTATTTGTTGCCAGGCATGGTGGCACAAGCCTTTAATCCCAGCACTTGGAAGGCAGATGCAGGTGAATCTCTGAGTTTGAGGCCAGCCTGGTATACAAAGCAAGTTCCAAGACAGCCAAGGCTATTACACAAAGAAACCCTGTCTGGAAAAGTAGAAAAAAAAAAGTATTTGTTGTTTGTGGTGTTAGTGTATGTATGTGTATGTGGTATATGTGTGAGTGCATCTGCACATGTCCTTGTGTGTCTGTGTGTGTGTGTGTGTGTGTGTATACATATGTAGGACCTTAGGAATTGTGTCAGGTGCTGTCCACTGTTTTTTGAGACAGTGTCTCTCACTGGCCTGGAATTTACTAAGTAGGCTATGCTGACTGGCCTTGGAGCTGTAGGAATCCTCCTGCCTCCAATTGCTTAGTACAGGGATCATCACCACACCTGGCTTTTGTGTGTAGGTTCTAGGGATTCATCCCCGTTCTCATGCTTTCCGGGCAAACACTACCAAGGGGGCTGTCTCCCCGGCCCCCACTTCTATTTTTAAAACAAACAACAAACACTAAGTGGACCATGGAAGAGGATGTAATTTTTATATTTAGGTGGGGTTTTTTGTTTTGGTTTTGGTTTTGTTTTGACATAAAAACACAGGACCCCAAACAAAATTCCACTCCCGGTTCAGCTGTTCATCCCTGTCCTCCAGAGGGCACTCTGCTGTTGCTTGTCTGCCAGAGGTGTGGAGCTGTGAACCTCCTGCTTTTTGGGTGCTTAAGAAATGTGCATTCATCCAAATAGAGAGAAGTTCACAGATCTTGCAGATACTCCCTGGGGCAGTATGATTTTATCTCTTCATGTTCACAGAGAATTCTGCCACTGAATTCTTCCCCGGCGGGCAGGGTATTCTCAGACCAGGGAAGCCAGACCCAGGAGTCCACCTATAATCTTGACTTTGGGGACAAGTGCATACAAGTCCCAGAAGGGAATTGGGAATTTCAGGCAATCTGATGCCTGGTATCCCCGCATCCCCATTGTCCCCAGCATGGTGGCCAGGTAGCCTTTTTCATACCGGGAAGTTTGGAGAGAAAGTTGTCCCGTGTGCACGTTTGATACGGAACTAGCCAGGACAACCCAGAAGCCTGGGTCGGAATGCCAGGCTGAATTAGAAAATGGATTTGGTCATGTGCTCCACCTACCTCAGACAGAGCAGGTATCCCTCAGTGGCCCTGGACAATGAATCCAACCAGGACAGTAAACTGCAGCCAAGAGCATGGAAGGGGACATGTACCATCAGTCCAGGCCCGAGTCCTAGGGACACCCGCTGAGACTGGCAGGCTCTGTATCTCCATCCCCAGCTGGCTCTAAAAGGCACTGTTCCATGAGCTGCGACTCCTGGCTGCTGGACAGGGTCTGGGCAGACACAGGCGGCGCTGGATCTCCAGGTGGCAGAATCGGTTCTGGTTAGAAACTCGAGTGGCTACACCCAGCCCACAGGTGGTTGAGCAGGGGCCCCAGGCTGTGCTAACTTTTGGACAGGGGACATCAGCAGATGCAGGAGTAACAAGGCCAGAAACCTGGTGTCCTGGGGGTTGAAAAGATGAGGGTGAACATGGAGAGAGGGCATGGACCCTCAGGCAAGTCTGCTCACTTGCTAGCCATCACAGGGTCCCTGGAGAAGCTGCTTAGCCTTAGTTTCTTCCTAAACTTCCTAACATTTGGGGTTGAATAAAACAATTACGGGAAGTCTAAGTACAGTGCACCCCACTGACCTGGGGCATGAGACAACTAAAAAGGGGGAAAGGTCTTTCTTTTTTCTCTACCTTCCTACTCCCTGGTACATGGTATCATACAGACACACATGTGTGGCGCTGTAACTCTGTGGCAAGGTTGCTGAAGGACCCAAGATGACAGGGTCACCATGGCCAATCTCTCCTCCTCTTCTCTTATGCTTTATATCCTTCCCTCTAGCAATGAGGACCAAGAGCACATATGGCAAAGACTAGAGAGATTTTTCAGTTGTCACAGTCAATGTATACAAGGGTATTTTGGGGGGGGGTGTGGATGCTGATACATTCGGAACATAGAGGCCAGGTTGTCTTTCTACATCCCACAGCATATCCAACAGCCCCCAACCACAAAGAGTGACTCATCCCAAATGTCACTGGTGCTGGTGGTGAAAAACCCTGCCTTGTATCTGGGGTTATGTGTCAGAGCAGGGGGTGTTGATCAAGGACTGCTCAGGAGCACCAACATGCGAGGGTGCCGGCATCCCCGTGTGAAGGCAGGAGTTTGCACAGAACCCACACAGCCTCCTAGGAACACAGGTCACCTCCGGATCACGAAGGCTGGCTAAATGAGAATGTTATTGGATAGTTGTGAAGCCATCTTTGCTAAGAAATCGTCTCAAGAATAAAAGAGTCTGCACGTGCTCAGTACAGACTAAAATACAAAAACTATCCTTGATGCGCAGCTGGTTGAATCCATGGATACTGAGGACCAACTTTAAGTATGTTCATGGCCCTGTACAAGCACACATAACAGAGGCCAGATCGGAGGTAGGGCTTTTAGCTTGCTTTTTAATATGTAAGGTGAGGGCTGGCGGCATGGCTCTAAGATAGAGCATTGGCCTAGTGTGTACAAGGTTCTAGGTTCAATCCCAAGTACTATGTGAGGGGGGGGGCGTGGAATACGTACAGCGAGCTGGATGACTTTCTCCTGTGTGCCTAACTAACTTGTTGTGTCATATTCCCTGATGGGGATAATGGTGACCAGAGCGCTTATGCAGTGTTAGCATCAGGCACCTTTACTTGACCTAATTCATTTTGTCCTCGCCACAGCTCTAAAAGGTGGCTGTTCTTATTGGTTCCACTTGACAGTTGGAGAAACCGAGGCAGGGAACTTCAACAACTTTCTCAGAGTCACACAGCAAGCAAGGCCAGAGCTGGGTTTAGTCACCTTCCCCAGTCAAGTCATGTGACATCAATAACATTTTTAGAGATACAAGGAAACAAAGTCCCCAAGTTGAAGACTTTGAAGAAGGCTGCCGCTGTCTTGTCTGTACCTCTGCCCAGCCCTGGGTTGTGTCCCAAACTCCAGTCCTGACTGCTTCAGCTTTTACCTAATAATTTACTAAATCCAGACTATCATGGACTCATAATATTATAAATTTTCCACATATATTAAGTACCATAAATAAGTTCTCTATGTATATCTGTATTTTGTCACATTGCATTAGCCTATACTATATTTATTATCTACACTATATTATTTCTATCACTGTGAGATGTACAAATTTAGCTTGAGTGTTAACGCATCTCCCTCCTTTCCACTCTGTCACCTGAATGTGAACTTCTATTTTTTTTTTTAAGATTTATTTTTATTTTATGAGTGTATGTTTTGCCTCACATATGTTTGTGCACCTTGCGCATGCCTGGTACCCACAGTGATCAGAAGAGGGCATCTCATGCCCTTAAAGTAGAGTTATGAAAGGGGGTGAGCCACCACATTGGTGCTAGGGTCTGAACCAGGGTCCTCAAGTTATAATATCTCAAGTCCCTCAAACCTTATTTTAAATGATTTATTAGCTGAAATCATATCTGTAAGTGGCTGCATCTTATTCTGTCAGTTTCTAGGAGGCTGTTGCAATGTCCCACCATCCTGTCCCCAACCCCAACAGCTGAGGTCTTGATGGCCTGGGCCTACCCTACACTCACCTTGGGCCGTGTGAGACTGGATCCTCGGCATCACTCCTTGGTCACACACCCACTCAGGACAGCACCTACCAGGCACCTCTACTCTCCTGGGGTGTGGGCAGTCCCAGCTGGGCAGCAGTACATCCTCACTGCACAGTGGCAGGCAGGTGAAGCCACCATCATTGCAGCGGCAGAGGACCCTGCAATTGGGCTGGAAGGTCTCTCCATCCAGGTACCTGTGGCCATTCACCTCGCAGCTTCCATCCTCCTCCTCCACTGTGTAGGGGGGAGAAAGCAGGCCAGCTCTGGGTGCTGGGGCCAGAGCTCAAGACAGGCACCCTGTGCCAGCCCCATGCCTTACCACACCCCTCCCCCACTGGCCTTCATCCCTCCTCAGCAAGACAGAGAAGCATCCAGGAGCCTGGCTTGGACCCCAGCTCTAAATTTTCTTAACCATGGACCAAGTAATTTCACTTCTTGCCTCAGTTTCTCTGTGTGAAAAGTAGTATATGTTAGTATTTATTTCACAGTGTGTCCTGGACAAAATGAAATGGTGTGTGATGAATGTGACAAAATGAAGCCTTGGGTAACGGGATGTGACTCAGTTACCCAGCACTTACCCAGCATGTTCACGGCCCTGATTTCAATCTCCAGCTTTGTATGAACTCAGTGAGGCGGCATGCTTGGTGGCACTCCTGCAATTCTAGACTTGGGAGTTGGTGACAAGAGATTCAGAGGTTGAAGGCCAGCCTGGGCTGGAGACTCTGTGATGTTAGTGATAGTTAGTGTTTGCCAGTGAAGCACACTGGGCCTGGGGTCTCGTGTAACACCCTCTCTGTCCTTTTTCTGTGTGGGGTCATCACTGTCTGCCAAGGTTTAACTTGCTGGCCATGGGACTTTGCAGTAGCTACTTAAATTCTCTGAGCAGCCCCATCACCACCTCCCTGGAGAGCTGGAGCCTGGAGTGCTCCTCCTCGGATCCTCTTATTTGTCCAGAGAGGAAAACCAGATCAGATCCCTGTCCCCACTGCCTCCAGATCACAGCCCGTGGGTACAAAGACCAGGCCTTCTGACCTGGACTATGCTGCCATTGTTTCCCTAGAAACCACCAAGGTAGCTGTGCCTCACTCCCCATTTGGCCTGGCCACCTCTGGGTCCACCCCAGCACACCCATCACACACACACACACACACACACACACACATCACATCACACATACACACACCCATCACACACACACACACCCATCACACACACACCCATCACACACACACCCATCACACACACACCCATCACACACACACACCCATCACACACACACACACCCATCACACACACACACATCACACACACACCTATCACACACACACATCACACACACACATCACACACACACCCATCACACACGCATCCATCACACACACACCCATCACACACACACCCATCACACATACACACACACATCACACACACACCCATCACACATACACACACACATCACACACACACCCCCATCACACACACACCCATCACACACACACACACCCATCACACACACACCCATCACACACACACACCCATCACACACACACCCATCACACACACACCCATCACACATACACACACCCATCACACACACACACATCACACACACACACCCATCACACACACATCACACACACACCCCCATCACACACACACCCATCACGCACACACCCATCACGCACACACCCATCACACACACACCCATCACACACACACACCCATCACGCACACACCCATCACACACACACCCATCACACACACACACATCACACACACACACCCATCACACACACATCACACACACACCCCCCATCACACACACACCCATCACGCACACACCCATCACGCACACACCCATCACACACACACCCATCACACACACACACCCATCACGCACACACCCATCACACACACACCCATCACACACACACACCCATCACGCACACACCCATCACGCACACACCCACACACACACCCATCACACACACACACCCATCACACACACACATCACACACACACCCATCACGCACACACATCACACACACACCCATCACGCACACACACATCACACACACACACCCATCACACACACACACACCCATCTCACACACACACCCATCACACACACACATCACACACACACATCACACACACACACACCCATCTCACACACACACCCATCACACACACACATCATACACACACATCACACACACACACACCCATCACACACACACCCACCACACACACACCCATCACACACACACCCATCACACACACACACCCATCACACACACACACCCATCACACACACACACACATCACACACACACCCATCACACACACACCCATCACACACACACCCATCACACACACACACACCCATCACACACACACCCATCACACACACACCCATCACACACACACACACCCATCACACACACACCCATCACACACACACCCATCACACACACACCCATCACACACACACACACACATCACACACACACATCACACACACACACACCCACCACACACCCATCACGCACACACCCACACACACACACACACCCTACCTCACCTCTGTTGCCTCAGCTTTAGCCCCCTCGTTGCCAGGATGACCTGGTAAACAGAGGCATGTTTAGGAAAGTCAACTGAGGATGATAATTTTAGCAAGAGTTCCTGGCACCTCAGCCCATCAGCTGGGAGCTGACTGGGTGTGGGGCAAGTGGGGCGGGGCAGCCAATCCCTCAGCAGGGTAGATGCCCTGTGAGAGGCGCTGTGAATTGGCAAACCCCACGAACCATCTCAGGATTCTCCTACCCAGGTGCACCCATGTCCAGATGCCCAGACCCTTGTTTCCTCCAAGCTTTCTTCAGGGTCCCCTCTGCCAGCAACCTCCCATGAGAGCAGCCTTCACTTGGGTCCCCAGGATCCCCTGAGCACAAGCCACAGGCTTGCCATCTGGGAACTCTCAGTGCCTTTTCTCCCCTCTGGAAGTCACTGGCAAGGACTTGCAAGCTGTGTGACCTATGTAAGTGACTTGAGCCTCTCTGAGCTGAGCCCCCTCGCCTGCAAAGTAGGGGCAACATTAGGATCTACCCCAGTGTCTAGCTTAAAGAAAAACCGGCTTGTAAAGCATTTTCCCACTCGACTTACTCAAAAAAGGGCTCCCATCAATGCCAGCCCCACTAGAAGCTCTGCTGTCATCCACGAAAGCCACAAATATCTGCTGAGCACCTACTGTGGCCTAGGCCGTGTGCCAAGCAGTTGTAATTCAGGATATGTGCACAAATGGGCAAATATCCTCATTGGATCACTCCAATGAAAATAAACACAGCCAACAAACCGAGATTGTGCTGGCTGGGGACCGGCCCTAGAGAAACCAAGGTGCCGGCGAGGAATTGTAATGTTTTAAATGTGGTTGGTGCCAGGGCCTCATGGACAAAATAGTGTGTGAGTAGGAATGGGAGGGAAGTAGGGGACGTTCCTTGTGTATATCTAAGGAAAGAGTGAGGATAGAGGAACAGCCAGGACAAAGGCCCTGAGGTCGAGAGCAAGACTTGAGTGTTCAAGGCCAGTGTGGCCTTGAAGTGTGGCTTGAAGAAAGGGAGTGGGTGAGGTCACTCTTGTCCACGTGGGAAGCACGCTTAGATGAACTAGATGAATTGTAACAACCTAAACCTCTGTTTCTCTAAGGTTCTCAACTGGGGTGATTTTTGCTCTTTGGTGACCTTGGCAAGGTCGCCATTGGTATCTAATTCTGGCACCTCGTAGGCACAGAGGGTGTTGCTGACTGTCAGGCCACAGAGAGACTCTCCCCCCACCCCCAACAGTGGCCCTGGTGCATAGTCACTAAATCCTGCCCCAGAGTGTCAGAGGACACCCAGGTCTGACAGAGTGGTGAGGAATGTCACACATCCAATGCCACGGGGCAAGCAGCACTGGGGTTCACATTGCAGCCTAAGGCTCCCAGTGGGGGATGGAAGGAATGGACTGTTCCTTAACTCTGGTTGGAGGTGGGGCAAGCTATAGGGCCTAGAGCATGCTATCTAATGTCTCTGAGCCTCAGTTTCCCTGTTTGTAGTACTTGTGCCGCAGGACTATGGGACATGAACAGTGAGTGACCAGCACCGTTCGTGGCACGCACTAAGTTCTTCGGAGCCTGTACCCTTGCTTTCCACAGGGCTGTGCTTTTGCCTTGGGGCAGCTGTTTGCCCAGCTTTGGAGCTGGCTCTGATTTGGATGGGTGTGGATGGAAATCAACACCAGGGAAGTCCCAGCACAGGTCAAGAGAGAAGAAACAAGGAGTGGGCCCAGGAACCCTTGGGTCACTGGTTGAGATGGAGGAACATAGCACCTAACGTGGGGTAAGACAGATCCAGAGAGCAGGACTCCCCTTTAACTCTGGACCCCATGGCCTTTACACCGCCATGCCCCGCCCCCATTAGTCTGGCAAACCTACTTACAGAGGCACATGGCCTCCCGGCCACCGGGGCCTGCCCCAGGCTGACAAACCAGGCCCTGGCTGGAGTCGCAGACGCGTAGATGGTCACAGAACTCCCCCAGCCGCCGTGCACACACTTGACAGCAGCCACAGCCATCCAGCACAAGCGGAACTCCCAGTGGGCACTGGGGTGGTGTCCAGGGACAAGTACAGGATGTTGGACACAGCTGGGCACATACCTGAGGAGACAGAGACCTCACTTAGCTTTGACGATCATGGAAGGTTTGGAGACTATCACAAATGATCACTTCTTGGCCAAATCAGACCGTGTGGGATCCTTGTCTTCGCCTCGGTGTCACACAGAACTGGCCTTGAACTGGGACTGTCTGTCCCATGGTGCTCCTAAGAGGCCTCGTGACACTGAGCATTGGAACAAAGACCACAGGTCACAGTTTTAGTTCTAGGCTCTGCCTCATTGGCCGAATTGTCTGAGCGTTCCTTGAGTTCTCCGAACCTGGGTTTACTCATTTGTGAGAATGGGCAGGAAATGATGCCACTAACCCTGAGCATGGTAGTTTGCTTTGGGGGGGGGGTGAGGGTGCACACCCCGTGGCTGCCTCTTTCATTCTCCACTCCATTTTTATTTTGAGACAGGGCCTCTCGTTGTGCCTGGTGATCATCAATTGATTAGGCTGCCTGCTAAGCGAGCCCTGAGGATCTGTTTGTCTTTCTGCACCCTCAGTGCTGGGGTACAGATGCGTCCCAATGTACCCGGCTCTTACATGCGGGTGCTGGAGAATCGATCTCAGGTCCTCAAGCCTGAGCAAGAAGCACCTTACCCACTGAGCCATCTCCCCAGCCTCTTGAATGTGGGTAACTCTGGTGGTCATCCTTGCTAATTACAATGAAGGCTAACCTTTGAACCCATGGGAAGAGTGAGGGCCTGAGGGGTGGAAAGAGATGAAGCCAACACTTCCTGGGGGAGTTTTTACCCCCAGGCCAAAGAAATCAAACAGAATATGGAGTTCCCTGGTCCTGGCACAATCCAGCATGTTTCCTAGCCCTGAGTACACATCAGATTAACCGGGAAAGGGAAAACACAGATTCCCAGGCCTCCTCCAGGACTCACGAAACTAGAGGTCAGAAGCAAGACTGCAATCTATTTAACAAGCTGGCTAGAAGCTTTTAGATTCTGCTAGGTTCACAGACTCTCTGGCCCAGCCCACCCCAACTGGCCACCCCCATACTTCTACCCCATTCCCACTCCCCCACTTTACCCTGCTCCCACGCCCCCCCCCCCCGCACAGATGGGACAATTGACTCCAAAGGGGAAAAATGATTGCTCATAGGCAGATCTGGGGGCTGTGCCAAGCCCACCTCCCCGAGGTGTACTCCTGGCCCCAGAGGGGTAGGCTTCTCCTGCAACAGTCAAAATCTGAGCCCGGGGCTGGATGGTGGTGGTGCATGCCTTTAATCCCAGCACTCGGGAGGCAGAGGCAGGTGGATCTCTGTGAGTTCAAGGCCAGCCTGGTCTACAAAGTTCCAGGACAGCCTCCAAAGCAATATGGAGAAGCCCTGTCTCAAAAACAAACAAACAAACAAACAAACAAACATCTGAGCCAGGGGATCAGTACCCATTTATTGCAGGACCAAGGCTTCACCCCAGTGGCACAACTTAGCCAGGACAGAAATACCCAAATGAGAGCCATGGGCTCTCGAGAGGGTGGGAGCTGTGAGGGAGGTAACCATTCAAGATGTCCCTGACTCTGCCCTAGCAGGAGTAGATAGCTATGGAGAATTTGTGATTTAGGAAAAGAAAACTAAAGACCCAACGCCTCCTGATTGGTCCAAAGAGACAATGATCTCTTTACCTCGGGGGGGAGGGGGGCTCATTCTGTCCACCATTGGACCCAGAGTTCCCCCAAACCTGTTTTCCAGGGCCCGCAGTTCTCACTGTGGCCAGCAGGGGCTGCCACTGAGTAGCTGCCTGTCCTTGACCAGGGCTCCCACCTAAGGCAAGGCACTGCAGAATTTCAGGTTCCAAAGGGTTCCTGGACCGCCTCTGAGAGCTTGTAATGAACACACGCTGTCACCTCTCCAGGCCTCCTGTGTAACCTCAATATGGGATATAATACATTCTGGGGCACCTCACTCGGAGCTGGCCTTCAAGGAAAGAGGTGGAACTTCAGAACAGGGTTTTAACTCCCTTTGCTGACCAGAAATGGCCTAGCAGAAATCAAGCCTTCTGCCGAGCCCCCGGTCTACTTCAGGCCCCCAGGAGCTTCCAGCTTCTCCAGTCCTGACTCCAGGACACCCCACTAAAGACCCCAGTTACCCTGGGTGATGTGTGGGCAAGCTGTCCGTTTAGCACTCTCCTGTGAGGTATGGCAGCTCGTCTAAAAGATGATGTCATAACACTTGGAGGACTGAGGCAGGAAAAGAGCCTCAAGTCTGAACTCAGCCAGAGCTGCATTGTGAGTTCCAGGCCAGCCTGGGCTACAGAGGCTATTTGTTTGAAAATAAAGTCCAAAACAATAATGTCAAAAAGAAGTCAAAATCAAGAGGTAAAAGCTGGAAAGTAGTGGGATAGGACCAGAATTCAGGTCCTGGGAAGCCTGAGCCCTAACTTAACTCTTGTGCCTACCTGTCACCCCCAGGGGCTCCTCCACTGGCAGCAAAGCCTCTGCCTTGGCCTACTTTTTTGGTAAAGGACAGTGACAAGACAGGGCAAGTGTTCTTGCCTGGCCTATGGACGAGGCGGCCCCCTCTGGCCTCCTCCTCCCACGCCCTCTCTGTGTCCCCATATCCAAGCTGTCTCGACAGGGCCTTGTTGTTTCCAGTGTTCCGGGCCCCAGGCCACAGCCAGGAGTCACAGCCTGCCCAGGACACCTGGAGTTCCTGTCCCCGGGAAGGGTGCAGCTTCACATATTCCCGGCGACTATATCCCCAGGGTCCTGTGCCAGGTGCCAGTCAACCTGCGGGGACCAGGAAAAAATGGCCTCACAGATGTCACTCCTGTGGCGAATCTAGGGCAGCCCTTCCTCGGCCTGTCAGACACTTCTCCCTCCTGGGGATCCAGGAGACTGAGACACCCACTCCAGCATCTTGTTCTGCCCATCCCCTTCCCAGACTGGAAACCAGTTGGTCCTGATCTTTTCAGGGAGACCTCTTGAGGCCCACACTCTATTGGCCCCAGGCCCTAACTCCATCTTACCAGGAATTCAACATTTACTGTAAGGCATTGCCCAGGCTGGGGTGGGGGCACAGAGTGGGGTGTCCTCAGAACACACTATGTCCATCCCAGGCGCCATCATGCTACTCTTCTATGTTCCATTTCTTTGCTGTGTGGCTTTGGGCAATTGCTTACCCTCTCTGAGCCTCATTTGACTAAAACAGGAAAACACCTTGTAAGACTGTTGTGAATGTGAGGCAAAGTGGAACTATACACAAGCCTGTTTTAAAAAAAAAAAATGTTCCAAGTGACACTGAGAGATACTTACCCACAGAGATATCTCCTGCTCTCTCTAACCAGGGTCAAAAGGTCACTGACCACCTAAGGGCCAGCACTCTGTGCCCTTACAGATTGTACTTTGCAATCAGACCCCAACATCCAACCCTGTCCTGGTTTATTGTTACACAACACTTACATCTGACTTAGTTTCTGTGGAGGAGAGAGGGTCCCTGCCTGGTCACTGCCCCTTTTGGACACTTATCTTGGTCCAGGACCTGTGCTACCCTCTGCAGAGCAATTCCCCTCTGATCTAACCAAGGGGGTTCTTGTACGAATTCAACTGAGGCAGAGGCTCAGAAAGGGAAGGACACATGCCTGAGGTCACACAGCAGCACTTGCAAGGAACAGTGAGTGGTCTGAGCCCAGGAAGGAAGCAAGCCTGGGCACAAAGAATAGACTTTATCCCTCCAAAGGTCCTAAATTGTGACCACATATCTGTCCACCCAGAATTCTACTTTTAAAGACCAGGATTCCTTACCATTGAGAGTAGACAAAGGGAGATGGCCAGAAGATGGGTCAGTGGGGTGTCCCTCATGTCACCGTGTCCCTTGTGGAGCCAGCTTCAAACCTGGGAGGCAAGACCTGAGTCTTTATGTTCTACAGGCTATGAGGTTCCTACTAGTTACATAGATACAGAGAGAAAGAGAGAGAGAGAGAGAGAGAGAGAGGGAGGGAGGGAGGGAGGGAGGAGGGGGAAGGAGAGGGAGAGAGGCAGAGCACACACACACACACACACACACACACACACACACACACACCACTTACAGTTCTAACTCTTCTCCCCATAGACTCAGGAATGAACCCAGTTACCTGAAGGTGAGGCCTCCGAGGCCACCAAGAGGGCATGTGTGACAGTGTGTGACGCCCAAGCCACCTCCAGTGCCAAGAGGTAAGGACAAGCCGGCAGGAGCCTCTCAGCTCCTCAGCTTCCAGCAAGAAAAGCTTCCAGCCCAAGCCACTGCCACAGCAGCTGCAGGCTTGCCAGGGCCCCTGTCCCACCCCCAGGGGCCCGTGGAGACCAGAAGCGTCCGGCAAACACCCCTTTGCTGATCTGACCCACAGCGTCGTGAGCCCTGTGGCCCAAACTCCGGGCAGCCTAGACTCAGCCTGCGGTTTCTGGCAGGGAGACTGGCAGCCACCCAGAAGTGGGTGTGACCCAGAGTAGAGCTTCCCTGGCAGCCTGGCTGCTCTTGACAACCAGGAGCCTCCCTATCCTCCTGGGCTTCAAAGGTGGCTTAGTGTGGCCAAGCCTGAGCAGGCTGAGCCTACTATGTGTTGCTGGCACTGGCTGGGCCCTGCTGATCTGATTAAGCTAAATCGTCTTTGTTGAATTCTGAGGGGCTCTGTGGGACTGGAGACCCTGGGGACCAGACCCTGGGGGATGGGGACAGCAAGGGAAACACTGAAGAGGCTTCCTTGTTCAGTCTAAGGCTGGGGTACAACCTTTTGAGGGAGATGCCATTTCTGAGAGCCAAGAAAGAAGCTCTGAGGTAGAATGTTCCAGAGGGAAAAGCATGTTCAAATGCCCAGAGAAGGGACCCAGCACAGCAGCCCTGCCTATTCAGAGCCGAAGTTGTCTGGTGGCTATGTGGGTTCCTGGGCACTGGACTGTGCAGGCATATGCGGAAAATAAAACAGAATTCACGCCACCAACTGTGGGACATCCCCAGTGTCCCAGCTATTGGGTGCGGAGACCATCCCTAAGGTCCCATCAGTGGGTATGGGGAAGAAAGACAAGGGGTTTGAGGGCCAGGGTTATAGCTCAGCTGGTAGAGTGTGTGCCTGACATGCACACATCCCTGGGTTCCCTGACATTGCATAACGAATTGGGTTGGTGGTACATGCCTGTCATCCCAGAACTTGGGAGTCAAGGTTGTCCTTGGCTACATAGTGAGTTTGAGTCTAGAATGGATACATGAGACTCTGCTTGAAAGAAAAAAAGATAGATAGAAAGAAAGAAAGAAAGAAAGAAAGAAAGAGAAAGAAGGAAGAAAGAAAGAAAGAAAGGAAGGAAGAGAGAGAGGAAGGAAGGAAGGAAGGAAGGAAGAAAGGAAGGAAGAAGGAACTCAGCATAGGCTTGGGTGCTTAGAGAAGGCTGTAGCTCTCAACACCTCTGCCAGTTACAGTGGAACGTACCTGTGAGCCCAGAACACAGGAGGCTAGCCTGGACTGCAAAGCAAGACCCCATCTAGTAAGAAAACAATCAGGGAGTCCACATGCTCCCTCCAGGTCATGCACAGACTATGCCTACTGCTGTGAGTGTTAAAAGCCATTTCTAGAAAAGACCATGAGACCTGCCTCAGCCCCAGCCTGCAGAAGAAATGGTGTGGCCAGCGTGGGGATTTGCTGTTTGTGGTTTCCTCCCTGGTCCTTCTTGTGCTCACTGCATCTAAGCTGGGCCACAGGAAGGCATGAACACCAGGGAGATTGGAAAGGCATATCACAGCCATTTGGTTAGGTAGCAGGGGCAGAGGAATGGGGCACAGGCCCAGGATCAGGCATGCTGAGATGTGCAGTCACCCCTGAGCCAAGCTGGAGACCCCACGCTGGTGGCTCATTTACTCTGTGGCTGCATGAAAACTCATACCCTCTCTGGGTCTCAGACAGACCTGCATGGTGGCCATGCCAACAACCATCTTTATCTTCTGCCACCATCACCAAGACCCAGGTTTGTTTAAGACAGAGACATGCTCAGCTTGGCAGCCAGGCCAGACCACAGGGAGTGCAAATTCCCAGACTGGTCCCCAAAGGAAGGACTTTCTTTCTGTCTCCTCAGCACCCCTTTCTTCCTCTTCCTTCCGGTCAAAGAGGCAGTGGTGGAGTTCGGCAGCCACCTTGGGCCATGAGGGTACCTTGAAGATAGAGCTCATGTACAGGGGGAGATAAAGCACCTTTAAAGAGGAGACTGGAGTCAGGCATGGACAGGGGGTGCACACATGTCATCCCAGCACTTAGAAGGCTGAGGCAGGAGGATATGGAGTTTAAGGTTACATAGAAAGGCCCTGACCCTAGAGTTACATAATGTGTTTTGGATGCTCCTTATAGATTTAATTCACACAATTAAGGTGTAATGGTATGTGCATAAATATATGATTATATGTAACCACTGTTTTTAATATTTATATAGTCCCCACAGACCCTCCTATCTGAGCTGACAAGAGTCTTGAGTACTCTTGGTTACGTACTGCTGATGTAAAAATAGCTTCTTTTTGTTGTTATCAATGTTGGTGACCATGCACTTGGAAGCCTTGCTAAATCCCCATTTAATATTCTGCCTGTGGATTTGTCTAGCCTTGTCTCCCTCCAGGAATGGCATCTCTTCCATTCTGTCCTTACATTCCTGGCTGTCTGGCACAGCCTCGGACCACAGCAGCAGTATCTGCTGCTCTCTCCTTTTCCTGGCCCTTCAGGACATAGATGCAGCGTGGGGGGTATGAAAAGCTCCAGGAGATGAAGGTAATTCTTTTCCATGAAGACTGTGGACCTTGTCCAAGAGCTGTGTGTGTCAGGCTTCATGAATGCCGGGCTATTTTGTTTCCCTTGATCCTCTGAGGCAGATATGCTGGCCAGCTCTCTACGGTTGATGTTTTCTCGGGGATAAACTTCCTGATAGTGAGGGAATGTGGTTATTTTTCTGGATTCAGCCAGTGTTTTATTTAGTGTCTCCATCTGTGCTCATAAATGAAATGGGCTTGTAACATTCCTTTGTGGGTTTATCTAGCTTTGTAATGTTGGTCACTTACCAAACAGCTCCTTTGGCAGCTTCCCCTCCCCTTCCCATCTCCCCTCGCAACCTGTACAACATGAGAATTGTTTCCTCGGGTGGGCACAGCTTTGCCGCCTGAGTTCCCAGGGATGATAATTAGAGGTTGCCAGGGTATTGTCTGCCACTCCAGATCTGGAATTGACTCCTCGACTTCAATTTCTCCACTTGTCCTTGGGCCAATCTTTTGACACCTTAGTGCTTCTGTATCTGAGTGCTCGAGAGTGAGGTGGCCAGAGGGCATTGTTGAGTTTCTTCCTCTGTGGCTCTGCTCCTCATTTTTTGAGGCAGGGTCTCTCTCTGAACCTGGAGTCACTGATTTGGTGAGACTAGCTGCCCGCTGAGCCCCTGGGATCCTCCTGCCTTTGCCTTCTAGTGCGGGCATTTCAGATACGTACTGCCAGACTCAGCTGTTTTATTTGGGGGATTCATATCCAGGCCCTCAAGCTTGCATACACCACCCACTGAGCAATCACTCCAGGCACCTCTTCTGGTACCTTATACCTTCCTAAGAATTGTTCAATTCCCTACTTTCAGGTTTGCAGGTATGTAAGTGTACAACTGGTTCTCAGTGGCCTGTAAATGACTTAATCTCTATGTCCAGGTCATTGCCACCATTTTGCTATGTATTTTGTTTACTTGATGTTGGGGTGCTGGGGGATGGAACCCACAACCTTGTGAAATCTGGGTAAGTGCTTGGTCCCTGAGACATATTCCAGCCCTTCCACTACACTGTGCCTCTGGTCAGCCTACTCAGTGTGTGTCTGCTATTAATTTGGTCTTGTTTTGATGAATTCTTTTGATCTCTAGCTTGCTGATTTGTTCACAGAATCTCCTGTTGCACAGAGCTACACTCTATTTGGCCCTTCAATGTTGACTCATTCTGTATCTTTAGCAATGGCGTGTGCATCATAGAAGGGGTATGAGCTTCCCCCACCCCCAAACTGGAGGCTGCATCTCCAAACTGGATATTCCCCATCTGCCATGTCAGAAGAACGGGTTGAGGGAATGGTCACCTGCTTGGCTGCAAACATCCAGCCCCCAGGGTTCTTCTGTGCCTTCTCTTTCCACATGTTCTGTGAGGTGTGCAGAAATTCGGATGTCTGCTCCTGGCCCTGAAGTCCCAGGTACCATGTGACAGGTCCCCAAGGACAGCTGTGAACTTGGACAGTTTACCACTTGGCTGAAGTTGGAGCTGGCAAGGAGTGTGTGGGAATTGACAGGCTCCCACAGAAGGGCTGGAATGTGGTGATCACAGTGTACACATATGACCATCATAGCATGTGACCGTAAGGCAGTGTGAGCTGGGGGTTTCAGAGAGAGGGGATGGTGAAAGTATGTAGCTGCTGGTGAACTGAGGGTTATGATGCACATGGCAGGGCTTTGGGAATTGGTGTGGGGGCTTATTCTCAGGACAGCATGCCAGGAAAAGCCACAGATCCCAGCATGTAGGTATCTGGATGAACCAGGGACCTGAAGAAGCCAGGATCCATGCCAGGCTTCAAGCCTGGCCCTAACACTGTGCACCTTTGGGCAAATCCTCTGTCTTTGTTTGTCATCGGTTTCCTTATGCGTAAAAATGGGTGAGAAGTAATTCTTCATATCCCAGGCCTCCCTGGCCACATGTTTTATAGACCTGGAAATCACTTGTTTCCGGAGACAGCTCTGACCCAGGGAGAGGTTTAGAGGGAAGGCCTCTGTAACATAGAGACCCACAGTGTGACTCAGAATCCAGGGTACTTCACTGAGTTGGGGCCAGCTGACCCAGCACCAAGCCAGAGGGCAATACAAAGCTAGGTTATCCCTACACCATCTGAGAGCCCCTGTCTTGGTCAGAAAACCCCAATTCCAAAGACCCATTTCTCCCTAGGGGTTCCTATAGGTGCCACTGTCTGTCCAGTACACTTGTCCATCTTCCCATCAACCATTTATCCATCCTTCCACTCATCTATTTATATACTCATCCATCCACCAATCCATCTATCTGTCTTTCCATCCATCATCCATGCATCCATTCCACAAACCCAGGCTATATAGGCCATGCCTCGGTGTCAAAGAAGAATGGAAAGCATGTCCCTGTCCACAGTGAGCTCAAGGGGTCTGGGTACAGAGGCCGGCAAAAGAATGCAGAGGGAAGGGGGGGGGTTGCTGAGCCAGGATGTGACCATGAATCTGGAAGCAAGTACAGGTGTCATCCAGGAGATTTGAGTAGGATCAGGAGGGAGCAGAGGTCTGCAGCTTGTGGAATTGAGTCTGGATGAA